TCATTATCAGCCAATCAGATTGCTGGATTCTTATCGAAATATTAGTATTATCCCTAACTCTAAATTAACGCCAAAATCGACTTAAAATGCCATTGGGTCATTCCCGTTAATCTAGATGGTCTAAAAGTCTAAAGTAGACCTTTTAGACTTTTTAGTTTAACGGGAATCATTAAAAACAGGCCCCCAACGGACTAAATTTTTGGCTTTTAAGGAATCCGGAATCTCAACAGAAATGACTAAGACTGGATGAACGCGCGCGGGCGCCCTTTTCGAGTTTTGAGTACCAAGTAAAACATGAAATTTTCAATAGTACCAAAATTTTCGATACTCGATACTAGTACTGTGATTTACGACATGAAATAAATCTATTCATAAACTCCACTGTATCCTAAACAAAAGACAACAGTTGCCTCCCAGCTAACAAAAGAGACACGATGGGTGTCATTGAGACCCTTTGCATATACTGGGCAATCAAGCATAGAGGACGCTTGGTAGAGGAATGGGAAGACCAACAAAAGACTCCAGAGGAGAGACAGAGGAGGGACAGGAGAACCCCCAGGATTGCAATTCGTAGGTACGCTGACTCCCCCTTTGCCTTCCTCTTTCACTCAGAGTGTGAACAAGCCCTCCTCAACTGCTGTGGTGTAGACCACAGGGTCTTCAGGGATCTCCTTGAGCTGTTTGCTCCAGCTTTCAGCAGGTACTCAGTGGACAGGACCACCAATGAGATTGTTCTTATTCCCCCCACTAGGAGTGGAAAAAAGAAGGGGAAGCCAAGAGAGGCTGACGCGACTTGTTGTCTTGGACTAGTGCTCTTCTGGTACAGGACTAGAGGGTCTGTTGCAAGAGGAATATCAATGGCATTTGGTCTTACATCGACTGTGATGTACAAATGACTCAAGTTTTCCATGAGGATCCTCCTTTCAGTGCTTCACAAACACCCACTTGCCATGGTCAGTCTGCCAAATGAGCAAGAAATCAATGAGTATGTTAGGGCAATTGGAGCAAAATATCCAAGACTTGGAGAACAACGCGTGTGGGCAGCAGCAGATGGGCTCAAGACAGAGATCCAGACCTCCGAGGACTGGCTTAAACAAGAGATCTTCTTCAACGGATGGAAGGCAAATACTTACGTGAATGGGGTGTTTGTCTTTGCACCAGATGGTAGGATTCGGATTGGAGTCTTCAATTGCCCTGGCACGTGGCATGACAGCGCCATCAGTGACTATGGAGTCTACGACAAGCTTGCTGAAGTTGCTCTTGCTGGAGGAGCAAAGTGTGTTGTTGATTCAGCATTTGGCTTGTTGGGCAGAGACTATCTGATTCAGAGCTCTCAGAATGATCCAGAGGGTGAGGGAGAACAGCTCCTATTGAATAGGGACGCCACGTCACTTTGACAGATGTCGGAGTGGGGAATGAGGATGATCCAAGGACAGTTCCCAAGGATGAAGGATAGGCTTAGATTGGAGGACTTCGGGGAAAGGAAGGTGATCATTCACTTGATGATCTGCTTGTACAACTACCAATGCAGTACCATTGGGCATAATCAGATCTTGACAGTCTTCATGAAGACACCGGCAGCGACACGCGAGGCGATGGACAAGCCGCATGAACTTCAGGATCTTGCTGCTGGATACTTCCATGCAGGGAGGGAGGTGTCTCCAGTTGGAAAGAATGCATTCTTTGAATAATTCCCATTGTCAAGTTGAATATAACAGAACAGATTGTTAGATCAGTTAAACTGATTCAACGCGGCAACGCAACGCATATCGATTCAACGCAGCAACGCAATGCGTATCGATACGCAGCATCACAACGCCGCAACGCAACGATTAAGCGCAGCAACACAACGATTAAGCGCAGTAACAATTAAACGCACTTACAGAACTTCACCATGGTGGGGCCGGGGTTGGTTAGGTTGCTTGAGGTTGGTTTAGTTTACGATTACGACCGTATTGATTAGTTTAGTAACAGGAAATAGTGAGCAGCAACTAAAGCAGCGCACCAGTTCCTTGTTAGCACACGCGTTACACCGTGTTGTTCTCCTAATTTGCTCATAGTAACTATGAAAACCGGGACTAGAAGTATACCGATGAAAACCGGGATTTCAACGGAATTGATAGTAAGCACGCGTTTTGCAATCCCACGAACCCCAAAACAATCCCACGAACCGGGGTTCGCCGTCAAAACACATGCATTGATCGGCAGTCACATGCATTGGTTTTATGATATATCTTCATTACGTTATATATACAGACTCTGAACATATTAGTCTTCATTGCAGTATATTCCGGTTAGAACGACTCTCATGAACTCCCACGAAAGGTATGCAAGAAAACCGATGCTGCTACTAGGACCACAGGAAACCACGGCAAAAATTTTGAACAACACGGTGTAACGCGTGCTAACAAGAATCTGCTCTGGTACAGTATCGAGCTCATTGCTCCTCATTACTTTGCTGTGTACTAACTTACTAACAGTTGTTAATTTTAATCGTTTCGTAACTGTGCTAATCGGAAGATTGAAATTAGTTGCTTTCACCATGGGATTGCTCAGTATCAGTGCGTTGGCACTTGTTACCAGTGAGCGCCAACGCCACTGTGGAGGCCATTGTGGAGGCCATTGAGGAGGCAATTGTTTGAGCCATGGTAAGCCAACGTTCATCTCTTGCTTCTTCGCGTTTTGCTCTTTCAGCTTCCCTCTCATCAGCCTTCTTGTCTCTTGCAGCTTCCCTCTTATCTTGTTGCATGAGGTAATCCTTAAGAACAGCATCCTGTTCAGTAATTTCCTTCTTCAGTCTTCCATAAGATCTCTTCCTTGCTGGTGTTGCTGTCACGACAATGGGTTCTTGTTTCTCATCGCCGACGTCGCCGACCATGGCAGTCGAGTCGGAAGTCGATGCTGTTTTCTTGCTTGATTTGCTTGCTTTTGGAGTCAAAGCGTCCTCCAAGTCCTCAATATCCTCATCATCGATGTAACCTTTGACTGGATCAAAGGTCTCCTCTCCATTACCAATGTTTGCCTTGATCCCAATCAACCGGTGGGCCTCTCTTGCAAGGCGTACGGACTCAGGAATATTTGGATTTCCAGTAGGAATCTTCATTCTCCTCAGTCGATTGAACTTGGTCTTGATGGAATCCTTTGTTCTTCCATAGGGCCAGTCTTGTCCATGTTTGTGAACCACGATGAGCCAGTCTCCTTTACCAATGGGAAGGATCTCCTTGATGGAACGAGACGAGCTCTTCTTCGTCTGAGTTGAGTAGTTTGCAGTACCGGCCTTACGGCCTGACCCCTCTACTTTTGGTTGACCTCCCATGGGAGGGACAGCTGGTGCCGGTGCAGCTGCTGGAGGAAAGCGTTCCCCATTACATGGAGGAATGGTAGCATAAGGCCCAGTACGCGTATCAGACATCTTTGCTCGTGGAATGAATATTGTGTGAGGGATCTTCTCCCCTCGTGTTGCTTGACACAAGGCCTCCAGCAGTTGCGCCTCTCTTTGTTTCAGCCTAATGTATAGAGCAGTGACTAAGACAGGGGACATCATCTTTAATGTCTTTCTTCCATGGCGCCGGCGCTTTCTTATTCATTCTTACTAAGGGAAGATTATTCTTAAGAAAAGATTTAGTAACGTAGTAAAAATTCTTTCAGTCTTAAATTTGGCGGGTCTTTTCAGTTGAGTCCTACAACGGATTTTCATTCTTGGATTCTGGTCTAGATTTAGACTAGATGGTCTATTTTTGGTCTGTCTGTCTATCAATATTTAGACCATCTAGATTAACGGGAATCGCCCATTGTTTAAAACCACGAAGRATTTTGATTCCCTGTAGAAATATTGTCGAGCGAACCGTCTGGGCCCTTTAGTCWTCTGTCACTTTCACAGATTCATTCGCAAAAATAATTATACCGTTCGTCATGACACTTATAAAGTTCAGCCACGTTCTTCATACTATATAAAATGGTATTGGGTATTGCTCCTCTGCTTCAACGATCCCAGCAGATGGCGTCACTATGCCTCATAAGATTCTAAATGGAATACCTCAAATCTGTCGTGTTTCGAGAACTACTCCACACGTTCTACAGATATGGACTAAGAATGTCTTGATATTGGATTCCTTGCCTTCTTTTTTTCTTCTCAAAAACGAATTATTATTGGTTACTGTACCGATACGAGGATGTAGCTTTTGTAAATCTTGCATTGCCCTTACCTCGSACCGTACGATACGATGGACTGTCTAGAGGTACATCGTTAGAACACAAGAACCCTTTTCTTTCTGCACGCCTTCAATATTTATGCTCCTACGGTACGTACGGTACATTAGAACGTTTCCTAAAGTACAAGTACACTTGGTACCGGATACGACAAATCGAAATGCTCAAGTCTCCTTAAAAATTACAAGTAACCGTACCGTACGAAAAGGAGCCCAACGAAATACCGTACGGTACGGTACTTTACTTACAGTACAGTATTTCCTCATGTTGAGATATCGTCGTCACTTRATCAACCTCTTTTCAGTTAACGATGGAACCTGTCATCGTCTAGAAATCTAGAAMCCAGCTGTCAATCTTACATCTCCGAAGGTTTCTCTTTGCCTATACCGGTACACAACAGCACATAATATAAAATAGCGATTTGCAGTGATCTGGGAATATTCGTTCAACACTGGCCATCTTTAGGAATCACTGGAATCACTTATCGGTTTAGAGATAAACAATTGGGTCTTTACTCGTGCAACAATCGATCCTATTGAACCTTGCCAATCGATGGCACAGATAGAGGTTCAACGCGTGCATGCAACCATGGCGTTTTCAGAAGACAGGAGTCCATATGACGATAATGTCGCTTTACAAATGATCAATTCACAGTTGGAGGCGATGAAGATATTGGACGAGAAGGAAGCTCAAGAATTCGGTAATAATGCCGACAAATGCGAACACGCACCTGGAAACGAAAATGGTCACAACTACAACCAAAGYAGCAAAACTTCTGGGAGCAAGAAAAACTCAAGCAAGGGACCGGATACTTTCTTTCGGCGCCAGTTAGAAGGTTGGCGCAACCGACACATGCTCGAAAGCTTCGAAGCCGGGCACCTTATCTCGAAAGAAATGCTCSAATTCAACCTCGAGGAGCGAAATGCCCTTTACGAAGAGATTCACGGGGTTACTTGCATTTGTCCAGAYGAATCGCCACCGGGGATGATCGAGATGGCACTCCATAACCTCGCCATTGAATTGATGATGGTCCCCAGCGCCCTGAAAACCGCTTACGAACAAAGCCAACAATTTCCTGTAACTTATGTTAACACGCCCGAATTTCGGTTGCGTTTTTTGCGAGCCGAGCTCTTTGACACAAAAAAGGCAGCGCTACGGATGATAAAGTTTCTTGAAAACGTCCTCTTTTACTTCGGACCGAAAGCCCTACAGCGCCCTATTCGTTTGTCGGATTTCAATAGAAAGGAAATGAAGGTAATGAACATCGGGCGCATTCAGTTGTTACCCTATCGGGACAGATTTGGCCGGAGAATTATCGTTGGRATTCCAGCCCAAGACCACCGTCGACAGGAAGCACACATCCGGGTAAGTTTTGGTCTGATCGAAAGCCGCCGAGTACATCGAATGAATAGTAAACGTGTTTGCGCAATCGACCGGCTCGAAAAGGAGAAAGAGTGTTCAATTCACAACAATTCCTTAATACATGCACTAAACACTTGTTCCCCACTACATCATTATTTGTCAGGCTAAAATACATCTCTATCTTTGGTGGGTAGCCGGCGAGTCGGTGGAGAGTCAAAGAAAAGGAATGGTTTTCATAACGATCCATAATCCAGACATTGCCGACTCGACAACAACTGGATCAACCTCTAAAATGGACGAAGACGGCAAAACAACTGTTGATGGCGAGAAAGAGCAACAAGAACGAACTAAAGTACCAAGCATGACATTTGCAAAGATAGCCATCAAAGAAAGAGATTGTTTGCCACTTCGAATGTCTGCATTTCACTTGTGCACACCGGATACCCCTTTCTATGCCATTCTGGAGTCTTTCACCGCTGCGATGCTAAAGGGCGATCGATGTCGGATAAAAGTTCATCACGGTACGTGGATGAGCGAGCTATTGCGTTAGATTGATTTGTACACAAGCCCTTGTTGTCTCAGGTCACTTTCCCTTACCTCTGGTTTCCTTCCTTTTGCTTATTGTCGCTTTTCAAAATATATAGGACACGACGTAGAAAACCGCTATAAACTCAATGGATATGGTATACCGCTAGACCAGTTACCRATCACCGATTCAGGGACGATAAAAACTACTTTTTTCAAAAGGTGGATGCAGTTTCGAAAGACCTTRGAAGAACCCACCAGTGACCTGTTTGAGATCAGGGAGTCAATAATTGAATGCCCGGGGTTGGCCGACGTCATATTTCGTCCTGGCCAGTCCTCGATATGTCATCCAGGAAATATGAATTTTCGAAGTCTTGTAGAATCCAAACACTACGAACACAGCGTCGCTGCCACCCGCGAGGGAAAGGTTGACATCACGAAAGGGGTTCTACAGGAAATTAGAAGCATGGGTGGCAAATTCTTGGTTTGGGACCACAGAAATTTTTGGGTAGAACTCGAGGACGAAAAAAAGATTTACGCAAAGATAGCAATTTTTTTTCGGAACTCTAAAGTTAGCGTGAAAGCGAAGAAGAACTGCCAATCTATTCGAGGAGGAACATTTGCATTTGCTGGTGACGCCGACAAGAGGAGAAAAATTGATGACGACGACGACACCGGACCGTGTTTCTCGCCCGATTTATGTTCGTCTTTTACTTTTCTTTAATTGTGTATGTCCTAAAGATGACGTCGAGTGCACTCATTTACTCTGAATGCTCTTATTGGTGTTCTKAATGAGAATATGTGGAATRGCCATGGAAACAGATGCAGCAGCCCTTCATTGCAACGGCGAAAGCGACTACGATATCGTCTTTTGGGCGAAGAAAAATTACAGAATGCTGGAGGGAGGGGAAAGCAGCATTGGTTCGATAATATTCCTTGCCCAAAAGGCAATGGATCAGACATCCACTTGACAGAGTATAAATTTGATAGATTTSAACTTAAAAATGTTAAAAGGTACTTTAGATTTTAGAACGMCATMGGTTTAATAATCGGTGGGAATCAAATGAATACTYCTGTTGCTCTTTCCCTCGATTTTGCTCTATTTTTGCTTCCTGGCATCCCGTTGCTGCTTYTTAACCCTCGCCGCCTTCTTTCGCTCGGTAGGGTCGAGTTCTGACTTGCGCAGCCGAAGCGTGCTGGGTGTGACCTCTATCATTTCGTCGGGCGACATGTATCCAATCATCTCCTCGACCGTCATCTTCTTGGGCGGTGCGAGGTAGACCTTTTCGTCCTTGTTCTGGGTTCGCATGTTGCTGGCTTGCTTGGCACGGACGGGGTTCACCTCAAGGTCGCCCTGCTTTGCGTTCTCGCCGATGATCATTCCCGGGTAAACAACGTCGCCGGGTTCGACGAAAAGGGTTCCCCGGGCTGCCAGACTGGCCAGTGCGTAGGTTGTGGCCTTCCCTCTATCGGAACTTATGAGCTTGCCCCTTTCCAAGCCGTCTCCCAGTGGCCCAACGTGTTTCCGGTCCTCAATGTAGACGTGGTTCACAACGGCACTGCCGCGCGTGGCCGAGGCAGCCTCGGACGGAAATCCAAGCAAACCCCGGCTAGGAACTTCTAGAACCAAGCGAGTCTTCGAGTCCGTCGATTCGTTCATTTCCAGCAAGATGCCCTTCCGATCAGCGGTAAGAGCCGAAACAATGTAGCCCGCGTATTCCGAATCGACATCGATGGTTACCTCCTCAAAGGGCTCCATCAGGGCTCCAGTGCCCTCGTCTACGGTGGTGACGATGCTCGGCGGGCTGATGACCATCTCGAAGCCTTCCCGCCTCATTTGTTCGATGAGAATCCCCAATTGGAGCTCACCGCGAGCGTAGACGTTCGTTCGCTCGCTGTCGCGGGCCGAGGATTCGACCGTTAGGGTGACGTTGTTGTCGGTCTCGGCGATCAACCGGTTGCGGAGTTTAGTCGGGGTGACCTCCGTTCCCTCCGTTCCGGCCAGGGGTCCGTTGTTGGCGGCGAATTCCATGCTCAAGGTGGGGGGGACCAAGGGTGGGGTGTCGATAGCCTCTAGAACCTGTCGCTCGACCCCATCGCTGTTTCCGTTCACACCGGTGACGGTGTCTCCAACGCAAATCGAGTCCGGAACCCCCGCTAGGGTCACGATGTCACCGGCGTATGCAGCCTCGCTTTCGAGGGGAACCCGTGAGATTCCCTTGTTGACAAAGAGACCTTTGAGTGTGGTGGGAGCTACCGTTGGTTCGTTCTTCGATTGTTGGTTTTGTTCTTGCTCGTGGTGGTCGGGATTCTTCCGCCTCAATACCGTCACTGTATCGTTCGCGGTCACGTGCCCTGAGGTGATCCGCCCCGTGCAGGTCCTTCCAAGATAGGAATCGTAACCAACCGTCACCGCCGCAAGAGAAAACCGATCGTCGACAAAGTCTTCTCCTTTCATGCTGCTTTTGCTGTTCGGTTGTCGAAATGCGGTGGCTTCATTGTGGACCTTTACCGAAGGTTCCGGGATGAGTTCCAGCAGCTTGTCAAGCAACAGGGTCATGCTAGTGTTGACATCTGTGGACCCGACCTTTCCCTGTTCCACAATCTCGGTGAGAACGTCCAAATCCTGGGTGACCCAACCGTCCCGGGCCGACGCATAAAAGATGGCGTTTTCCAGTGAAAATCGGATCTGCTCCTGTGAGGCACCCAATTGCTCCATTAGCTCCTCTAGGGAAATTTCTGTGTCTCCCTCGACGACCTTGTCGAAGGACACCCGGCGATCGACCTTGTTGAGAACGACGACGATCGGAAGATCTGCCTGGAGGGCCCGGGACAAAACGTACTTTGTCTGGGCCATGGGTCCCTCCCCTGCGTCGACGACGAGGCACACACCATCCACCAGGGACAGGACCCGATCGACCTCTCCGCAGAAATCGGCGTGTCCCGGCGTGTCGACAAGGTTGAGAATCATGGTGCTCTCGTTCCCGGTAGGACTAATGCTGGGTGTGTAGCCGTCGATTCTGGTGACCTTGGAGGTGATGGTGATGCCCCGTTCTTTTTCGAGATCCCCGCAATCGAGCAATCGATCGGTGTCGCCACCGCCGTCGTTGCTGGTGGGGTCGCCGGACGAGCTCCCCGCCGATCGCAGCAGCTGATCAACCAGGGTCGTCTTTCCGTGATCGACGTGCGCAATGATCGCCACGTTCCGGACACCGGACCGCAGGCGCACGGTAGGAGACGACGAGTCATGGTGTTCGTCATCGCTGTCGCTGTCAGTGTCGGTGGCCGCTGTCGAAAACAACCTTCTTCCATGTGCGGTAGGAGAAAAAGCAGTTTTGGGAGCACTATGGCGCTTTGTGTAGTTGTTTGGGAGGATCTTGTTCGAAGAGGAGAATATCGAATCGATAATACGATTGTTGATGCTMCTGCTGTCGTTGACGTTTTGCCCAGACATCAAACCCGTAGAGTAACCATTGAAATTTCCCACTACCGGGAGTGCTTGCTCTATCACACATGTTCTCCCAATCGCTCTCTTTTGACTCGCCGCTCGAMGGATAGAGCTACCTCGAGTGGTAATCGATCGATGCATTCTTATTGGTAGTAGTTTTTCTTCTGGTTTCGTTTTGGATTACGGTCGTTATTTATGTCCAGTATGYGCAACAGCAGAGCCCTATCACGGTATCGTAATTGTTCGAGTCTTTGCTTTCGATGTGGCGCTTTACTTTCGATTGAGCTCGGGTCAGGGTCGGATGCGAGATCCGAGCAATGAGAAAGGTAACAGTAACAGTATTACGAAGTTTCTTCGTGATGCATTAAATTTGAGTGTAACTGGAACCAACAATCTGTATTTTCTCGGGTTCAAAAACACACAGAAATGTGAGCTGTTCACAGTGTTTTTCGACCTTACAGTGCGTTCTGTACCAGACCGTASGTCCTCTCATTGGATTCCTTGTACCGTTATGTATGTCTCGTCTCGTAAGAGTTATGCATCGTACATTTGGTAGGACAGAAAATTGTACCGTACGCCGCAAGGTCGTTCCAACAGTCTACCCGAAAACCCCGAAGCGAAGAAGAAGAAAATTCAGGCTGCGAATGATGTTGTACGGGTAGGCTCTGAAAAATCTACAAGAACCGTAGCGACGTACCGTACCGTACGGTGCGATTCGTATCGATTCTACCGTACAGTACGGGTACGCATTACGAGGTTTGGAGTTTGATAGTCATCATATGTATAGTACCTATGTATCACATTCCAATTCGCCAAACACACGGAATCTCTCACACTCTCAAGCATGAAGATCTTTTTCGTGGAACCCACTGATTGATTGATTGTCTGGCTTTCGACGACTTTTCTGGACCGATCAACGACATGCAGGATGAGCGTACGGTACTCGTACTCGTACGAGTTACCGTCGCGAARCGAGCAACAAACAACACAATGCATTCACTCAACGTAACGCATAACCGAACAGTAAAACACATATTGCGCCTTTCCCGCAGTGCATGGTGCATGCCCTATCCTATACTAGGTCTCGACAATCTGTAGCAAAGTAGATATATGTCAGAGAGCACCACTTTTCAATGACATGGTAAAAATATCGTAGAGATAATCAAAATCTCAAACGAATCCGGGGACTACTTACGGAACGGAAAGGCAACAATCTTCTTCATTGAAAACGACACTGTTGCTGAAACGGGGCAAACCATCAGGGCGTKTTTTCTCTTCATAATCAACAACATCGACCAACTTGGGACTATCCACAATACAAAAAACAATCCGAACCAATCCAATTCGGCTTGATTGGACCATTTTTCACACACGACCTTTTCAAATAAAAGAATCGAATATTCTTAGCTTGGGAAGAATCATCCAATCTTCGGTCGACCGATACCTGCAGAAGGAATACCATTCTCACAAACAAAGGCACGACGCACGAAACGAAACGAAACAAAGCCGTTGAACACAACTGCCATGGGAGATCGTGAAGACAAACTCCCCCTACCCAAGGGATGGATCCGCACGTTTTCCAACAGCCAAAAGCGCTACTACTATTCCCACAGTGAAACCAAGCACACACAGTGGCACTTTCCAACGGCGAGCGAGGCAAACGATCCTTGGATGGCGAAGCGACGCGCCGAAACTAACCGCTCATCCCAGCAGCAGCAGCCCGCAAAGAAGAAACAACGAACCGAGAAAGGGGCTGCTGTTGCCTCRCTCTCCGACGTTGATGCACTTCTGGACGTGGCCGATACGACCAGCGTAGCGATYATCGTTCCCTTCCGGGACCTACACAAGGAACAAAAGCGATCGGAGCACCTCTCGAAATTCATTCCGCACATGATCCGGTTCCTGGGAAACCTCAAGACCACCGAGCGGCGGATCAGCGACTATCACGTCTACATCGTGGAGCAGTCCGACGACGGCCGCAAGTTCAACCGGGGAAAGCTCCTCAACATTGGCTTTGACATTGCCCGCAAGCACAAGGGGAGGAACGGTCAGAAGCATGATGTGTTTATTTTCCACGACGTCGACCTGCTGCCCTCTAAACAACTCAACGAAGCTTATTCCAAGTTTCCAACGGTCCCTCACCACATTGCCCGGTGCTGGGACCGGTATTCGAACAACCCAAAGTACTTTGGGGGGATTGTCAGTTTTTCGTCCTCTGACTACAAGCGCATTAACGGCTATCCGAACACCTTCTGGGGATGGTGAGTATGATTGATTGGACCTTATTACGTGGYATTTAATACCGCACTCTGGATGTTTCGCATGGATCCTTTAGTTATCGGAATTGAAACCGACTCTCATCCGTTCTTGTTGTTTATGCGAATATTTCCGTGCCATACCATAACAAAGGGGCGGCGAGGACGACGARCTTCAGTTGCGATGCAACGCTCTKGGGATCAAGTGGGATTTCCCGCGGCTCTCCTCCTCAGCGTCGTCGTCTTCCACGCCACCGATCACGGATCTGGAGGGCATGACGCTGAAGGAAAAACTCAAATTTCTCAAGTCGCACCGGGAATGGAAGTGCATGGTCAAGTGGGAGGCCCTGGAGGAACACGAGAAAAACTGGAAGACCAACGGCCTGGCCGACCTCCAGTACAAGGTCCTAAAGACCACGCCCCTGGATAGCAAGGATGCCTCGAAGGCTAAGGCGACCAAGATCACGGTCGATGTCAAGCTCAATCCGAACAACCACTGGGCGAACGATAAATGTGGAGTCGAATATATGGGTTGATAGCACGACAACGATGGTTCATGTGCTATCCTTGAAGCGAGACTTAAAGAGGAAAGAACGATGGTGGTAGTTGAAGAATTTCCCAACTGGATTGGACGTACATAGGGATTCAAGGCATGGCAAGTGAATCGTTCGAGGAARMATATTTGAGGTGCAGGGGAGCTGCTAGCCACTCAGCCGAGAGACAATGAAAAAGACTAACAATACAATATTATACTTAACGATAAAGAGTGCATTTAACGTACATTCAAAAGCTGATGATTTGTTATGATTTWCGTATAAATAATATTTTGATAGCTTGAAATTGTAGCTTTAATCATCATAAGTGTATGTTAYCGCGGTGTATTCTTTTTCAAGGTATTGACAAAAGTTTCTGAGGTTTGATTATGTACGATGAGATGGTAATGGCCCGGAAATATCCTTCGCAAATTTAATTTGCAAGCTTCRCATATCTCCCCTGTAGTTACAGTACGCTGGTTGAATAGCATGTCCGGTTGGGAGGGTAGAGCTTTTTAAAGATTCTGCTGTCGAGTATGGGAATAATTACCAATGTATTGGTATGCCAAATTGTAGTATTCTCTCATGGATATTGCCTTGTATCTGTCAAGAAGCCAAGTCGCATACTAATCTCTGCTGCCGAAACGAAACGACGTACAGGATGATCACAAAAGTCGTTGGTGTTGCGCCAAACCCAGAAAATAGAATCGAGGGCATCTCAAAATCCACATTGSGAGAATGAATCCGTAGTGCCTGAATAAATAGAAGGGTCGAAATTGGGTTTGAAAGAATCGGTTATTTTATGATCTCTGCGTGTGGAATCGATTGGCGAGAATTTCACCGGCCCAAAATCGTTTCACGCAATGGACTTTTCTCGGCCTCCAGTTGCCGGGCCGATGGCTTTCGAGCTCGAATCGACCTTCGGCTAGGACTCGGTGCAGACAAAGGATTGCAGTTCCCAATATCATTTTGCTGAGTCGGTTCTGTTACCGAGTTAGAACGCATTCTTTGCATGACTTCCATATCCGGGTCTTCCATTTTTATGATAATTCTTAATCCAYCACTGGTAACTAGCTTGAGCTCTTCGTCTTCTTGATCGGTGTTCATTGCGTCACTCCGCTCCCCTCCATTATCTTGTGAGAGTCGTTTTGTTCCATTCCTAGAAATTCGTTTGTCTTTCAAACGGAGCGATACAGTCGTAGTGAATCCTTTTTCTTGTATTCGTAAAACTGAAGGAGAGAATACAAACGATGTGGGCGAGACTATTTTCTCTGCAATTTTTGTATTTTTCGATGATGTCGGTGTTTTGGGAGGTTCTCCCTCGTTCGAATCTTCGCTATTAGTTTGAACTTGATCTCTCGTGGCTTTCGATACAGGAGGAGCTGGCTTCGTTGCTGTCTCTATTATTTTCCCATCACATGACCCTCCTTCCAAAACCTGTGATTCGGAGCGAGGTGCTTCAGTAATTATTGCTTCTTCGTTTGAATTATTTTCCTCCGCCTTTGATTCAAGGGGGTTAGTGGGCGGAGAAGGTGTTAACCCATCCGATGATACACTTTTATTCGTGTTCGCACCCTGAGTATCGGTATTCTCAGCTACCGTGCTCTTATTTGTGAAGAGTTTATGATCCTCTTCTTTCTTTAGTTTGTCGCCWTTTTCKGCATCATCTGTAGCATCGGAAGAGTTAATTTTGGTTCTTTCATTTCTGTCGGTCACAGCATTATTTTGTTCAACAATACTTTCTTCGGGATAGGACCGGATGGGCGAGGCCGATGCAGAAACGGATGGTGTTGTTGAAGGTGTTGTTGTCACCGAAACTTGTGTCGCTGATGCTACCGCCGGACCTCCATTGGATACTTGCTGTGAAATATTGTCTGCTTGTGCATGTTCGTTTGCTTGTGCTTGTTCCTGCGCCTGCGCTTCTGGTTCTAAGGCCGTTTCGGTTACTTTTGGSAGAGAAGTAGGTCCCTTCACATCACTCTCGCTTTGATCAYCACCTTCTTCCTTCTTCTCCTCGAAAGAACCGTTGCCGTGAGATTTTGTTTCCTCAACCACCTCCTTTCCCTGATTGTAAGTGTCGTTGTTGCCCTCGRCATCTGCAGAACCGGTCGTATCTGTGGCCTTTCTTTCGTCATCAGCACTAGCAATAGCTACATCTGAATGTTTCTGTGGAGTTGAATTCGTATCGCTTTTCATTGGAACAGCTTTGTCATCGATTTTGCTAGAAAATGGAATGGTAGTCACAGTTGTCATTGAATCCAACGATTTGGCAGTCACTGGAACCATTGCAGTGGTTTCTTCCGTCGGTGCCGCGACTGTATGRACACTTTCTTCCTTGTCGTTTTCTCCCAGCGGGTTACCGCCAGTCGGTAATGTGGTTGCCGATGGGACCATCGCAGTGGTTTCTTCCGCTGCTGATGTGCCTCCACCATCACCACCGCCTTCTTCTGCAGGTCGTCCGCCCGCCTCTGTACCACCAACCCCCTCGTGTCCGTTGGGAATCATACTGAACAAAAATCCTTCCTTCAGAAGCAAAAGAATTCTTCGCTCTTGCTCTTCCTTCGTCAAGGACTTTCCGACAAATCCTTTGACGTAATTCTTGTGCATGGTGCGCTGGGTGCTGACCCACCGGCCCAAAGCTCGATTTTCGGCCGACTTGGTCGGTACGTTGCAATGCCCATGCTTGCGCTTGAATTTTTTGATTTCCTGGAAGCGGCGTTCCCATCCAATCTCGCCCTTGTGGTTTTGCGCCCAAATGAAATCGATGGATTCCAGCAACTCGATTTTCCGTTCGGTGAGACTGGTCCGCTCGCAGCCTGTGTCCCACTTTTTCCGTTCCATGCGCATCTTGTTGACCCAAATCCCAAGCGAATGATTTTCTGGAAATTGCTGTGGCACATTTGCTGTTTACAATAATGGTGAAAGAAAAATGTTAGTACGATTTTTTAAGCAATTCAATGTAAAACACAAAATGTTTATTTCCTCGTGACACTTACCATCACCAAAAACAGCGATGAACTGGCGGAGTTCATTGAAACGTTTGTAAAAGGTTTGAAGGGCGTTCCGTTTTCTAACTGTCGTCAACTCCATGAGTTCTGCTTGCGACGGATAGATCAGTCCGCCCTCGAGAGGGCAATTCATCAATCGCTCACGGAGCTCCTGGTCGGCCTTTTCGTCGTTCCTCCTGCGTTTCTTCGCGGATATACCGGGTCCGTTGTAGGAGTTTTCTCCACCGTAATAGCCATCGGATCCATCGTCGTCAGAGCTGTTCGTATGGCTGTGATCGATTTCGTCCTCGGATACTCCTTGTGTAGTCTGTTGTTTGTCGCGGCTTCTCTTTTTGCTTCCCTTGTTTCCCTTGGCATTTGGGTCGTCAGARTTATCCTTATTCCCACCACTCGGAGATGATTTCTTTTTGGAAGAAGATTTGTCACCGGCARTCATAGTAACGTAGCCATATTTATTCATACCGTTGATGATGCTAGCATTCCCATTGCTTGTAGGCGAGGAAAAAGCAGGTGGAGAAACACCGGGCTTTGCCGCATGTGCCGTAGCAAAACCCGAGGGCCCTACCGGTAGCTTGTTCTTTTTGTTGGCATTATTGTTGTTGTTGTTGTTGCCGGCGAGTTTTGTTTTCTTGACGAGCTTCTTGACGGTACGGACGGTCTTCTTTATTTTCTTTCCCGTCTTGGGGCACTTGGTAATGACCACCTTGGTGCTCACTGTAGTCGTTGTGGTTTCACCTGGAGCAGTGTTCGTCGTCGTGGTCTTTGTTCCAACCTTGTGCTTCTTGCCCAGCGTCTTCCCGGCCTTGGCGAGAGATTTTTTCGACAACTTGCCCACGGCCGAGTTGTTGGAGTTCGAACTTTCGCAGATTAGTTGGGTCATGGCCATATCTCGCTTGAAGTTCGGAGGAGACGGTTCCTTCCAGCATCTRCAATCCACCTCCTGGAGAGGGGTTCTCTTGAGAGAAAGCAACCCCTCTAGGATAGTTTCGTCCATTCTCAAGGATTCCTCGGGCCAGAGAGGAAGTCCCTTGACGGAAGACTCTTGGTGATGATGATCCCCCGATAACGATGTTGCTGGTGTCACTCCCTTCGATGATTTCTTCTTTTTGCGCTTGGTGTTGGCAGCTGTTGTCTTTTTCAAGAAATCACTGCCTTTGATATTTCCTTTGCTTGCCAAGGTCTGATGGATTCTTCTGGCCGCTGCCTGAATCTCTGATCGGTCTTGTGGGATCCGTTCCTCGGGGTGAAAGCGCAATCGCCGATCGTAAGTGCCTTCGTATCCGTAGGTTTTGGTGGACAATATGTCCCCGCAGCACCCGCAGTATCTCGACATTATGGGTAGTTTCTTTGGAGGCGGGTGCGATGCTAGCAAGGATGAGGACGATAAGGAAGAGGAAGAATATAATTTTTTTCTCGCAAAGGCACTCGTTTTGTTGGGATTTTTGTTGGGATTACCGTTGATCTCGTCGTGATTCCCGACATACTTGAWAAATTTATCYTCCTTCTTYGTGGMTTTTATCTTGGATTTAATTGGAACACCGGACGGTGCTTTCGACTTTTTGTTACTAKTTTTGTTGGAGAGAMTCGTTGTAGAGGTAGCACCAGGAGGTGCCCTGTTCGTGTTCGATTTCAACAACTGCATTTTGTTATCCGATTTCGATTTCTCGAGATCCTCTGTTGGCGTGGGACTTACGATTGCTTTCACTTCGTTATCCACGGCCGTCGAAGTCAGTGTGGCGGCTGCAGTTCCAGACGATTTTATCATTAAACTGTTGGTGTGGTGGTTCTTTTGCTGGTGGTATGGCAGAGACGAAACATTAAAACTTGAAAGCTCTCTTTAATGCTCCTTGTAGGTTGTTTG